CGCGGCGACGTTGCAGCGTTCAGGCTCGTGGCTTACGCGACATGGTGAAACGGTTGTGGAATGGTGTTGCTTCCTAGATGGTAGCAGACCACACTAACGGTGTTGTTTCTAAGCACTGCCGTTGTCAATATGCCGAAAGGTATTGAGCATGCCGTAAAGTATGGTCGTATAATCGTTATGAGTGACATTAAGTAATTTGTTTTATGTAACTGTACAGTGGTATTTCCTGCTTTGGATTAAGGCTATGGGGGTGCGCACCACTTTGGGCACACCTACGTGATCGCGATCTCCCCCCTATAGAGACTCTCGAAAGAATCACAACACCAAACAGATCTCTTCCTTCTCTTCCTCTCCCACCTGGACTCTCACACTCGATTCAAAAACCGAAGTTTTGAATATGGAGGCACGTACTCTTCACCGTGCTCGTCACGCATGCTTGCGACCAAGCTAGCTGTACACCACTGCATAAGGCCCTGCTCACGTCGTAATCACTCTAACAGGGGGCGACACGCCTTGTAGAAGAGGCCTATGCCGTGCTGTCGGCGGTTTGTATCTAGGCATGTCACGGCCGCGCTGCGCGACCATTGGTAGCCAGTCTCTCACTAATGCGCCACGATCAAGTGCCAGGCGTGCAGAGATCCAAGCCGTCGTGGACACTTCGCGCTGTGGCGATGACCGTGTTGGAGTCTGAGCCTTCATTGACCGTGAAGTAAAAGCGTTTACAAGCTTCAAACTGGCTAGTCTCCTCACACTACATTCCACCACACTTAGACGGATCTAGAATACATGGCCTCTTTGCCAGGCGTAGTTTACGAGTTCTGCAACAGATGGTTCCCCAACGCCAAGGTTTATGGCGGCCATAAGTCACGGCGGACCCCTTGTCAAAAGCTTTCCGCCGTGGCAAGGCCCTCCTCGTCTGCACCGTCCGCCGGTCTACACACTCTGCTATTCGTCCACGACATACAGTCAGATGCTCCCGCTGCACCCGCTTCCCCTACCGCGTCTAACGCGTCCAACACCGACGGTGTGAATGGTCCTCGTCGCGTGCTTGAAGCTGACGGGGACGCAACACCCTCGGCTGTGAATGTGGGGGCTCTTGAAAGTGAGCATCAACCGCCTCCCAGAACACATGCCTCTGACACGAGTGAGCATCCGGAGAGCCGCCGTAAAGAGAGTCATGCCGCACCGCCGACATGCATCTCTGGGCAGAGCAATGCCACGCCCCTCAATCCGCTTGCGTTGAAGCTGCTGCATTTCGTGCGACGCGTAAATGGTGGAATGGGAATGGCGGAGATCAACATCAATGGCCTACTTCAGCTCGTGGTGGAGCCCGGCCTTGCGCCTCTTGTGATCTCAGAGATCTGGAACAGCAAGGATTTGGAGCAGTTCGAGATGGAGCGCTTGGTCGGGCTCAATCGCGGATTGTCAGTGGCGACCTTCGAGATTGACGGTCATCCGCCACAGCGCCTTCTCTTCTAGAACTGTGCGCAGGTATTTTGAATCTAAATCTGTAGCTGTGAAATGCATATTCCGCATCCATTTGGTGCTTGTTGAACGTTGCCTCTTTAGGCTTGTCTGAGATCTGCCCCACCTTCAACGCCACTAACCAGGGTTTGGTTCTCTCCTGCTCTTGCCACTGTACGCCAGGCGTTTGCCGAACTGTTTGGGCATACCAACAACACGCCCGGCTTCAAGCTCAAGGCTCGTGTCGATGAGGACCCTGACACAAGCGAGTGTCGCTATACCACGCCAGAAACTAGAACGTGGTGGAACGATGCTCAGGTATAGAAATACCGCGTTGCCACCCAAAACCAGAAGAGTGCGTATGCCTCCATTGATGCGCTGATGTGTGGGGAGCATCTTCTATGTGTCATGTTTGTGGGGAGTTCTTTGAAGCATGCTTAGTCCGCCTGGCGACAAGTTGCCTTGTTGGTGTTTGACCGTGTGCCTTTTCCCTCCTTGTCATGCTTTGCAGGAACACTTTGGATGGTCCGAAGTCGTGGGGGGTATCATCCTATACTCAGATGTGACGCACATGAGCAACAACGGCTGGAAGAAGGCGTGGCCGCTAATGAGGACGCTTGCAAACATCTCCCAGGCCAAGGGATGGGGGAAAGCCGGACACACGCTACTTGCTCTCCTTCCTATCCCCCCTTCTACAATGTCTGCCGTGGAGAAGGTGATGCTCTTCCAGCGATGCGTCATCACCGTGCTGTAGCCGCTTCTCGATGGCATGGAAAGGTCCGTACTCTATTTCCGTCTTGCTATGTCGTCACCCAATCAACGTCATAGTATGCGCAGTGTTTCGGTATGTAACAGTCCCCCTTGTCCCTCTTCGCCGATGCACACAGGCGGAATCCCTGTTCCTATTGCCACAATACCTGTTCCTTGCAGCGGGTTCCGTCTCAGGGACCCTTTCGGTGATGGGCAAACTGTGCGGCCCCTGCTGTATGTCAGTAGATCTGCACTGTGGATGCCCGATTGATCCTACGGGGGGTTACAAGCGCGTTCGTCTGGGGGGTTATGGGCGCACTCTGACCCGCTACTTAAAAAGCACTTTTATCCCAATGGTCTAGTGGTTGGGGTTCTGACATGGTATCAGAGCGGTCTCGGGTTCGAATCCCGGTGTATGCACATGTAGGCCGTTGCCGCTGTGCTCAGTCCTGGGCCTCCCACTGTGGGGGGATGTCAGTAGATCTGCACTGTGGATGCCCGATTGATCCTACGGGGGGTTACAGGCGCGTTCGTCTGGGGGGTTATGGGCGCACTCTGACCCGCTACTTAACAAGCCCTTTTATCCCAATGGTCTAGTGGTTGGGATTCTGACACTGTACGCCTGGGTGTGCGACTACCCTGAGAGCGGCAAGATCAGTTGCACACTCTCGCATGGATCGAGGAAGCCGTGCAGCATCTGCTCATCCTGAGCCTGACTTAGTTCGTGGTACCAGTCCTACTGTCACGCGTCTCCTAGCCACTGTTGAAACTAGCCCTTCGTTTGAGTCCACTCTTGCGTCTACCTTAGTCGTTGAGCTTGTTGACTTTGCTGCTGCTTGCCGTCTCAACTACGCCGCTAGTCTTGTTGTTACGGGTGAGTGTGCTCTTGGCACGGACGTCCTTGAGGACAGGCAGGAGGACTTTGAGTGTCTTGCAGCTGTTGTACCTCATCTCGTGTCCATGCTGCTTGCACCTGAGGGAGACCCGGATGCTCCAGACATCCCGACCCCGTGCTCTTACGCCGAGGCAGTTACAAGTCCCTACTCCTCTCACTGGCAGACAGCCATGGACGAAGAGATGGCATCCTAGAAGTCCACAAGCACTTACGTCGACGCAGTTCCCCCTCCTGGGGCGAACATAGTCGATGGCATGTGGATTTTCATGGTGAAGCGGCCGCCGAGTTCTCCGCCTGTCTTCAAAGTTCGTTACGTTGCACGAGGCTTTAGTAAGTGACAGGAAGTTGACTTCTTCCAGACCTTCTCCCCTACCCTGGAGATGACCACTCTTTGGGTGCTACTGCATGTCGCCGCTCAGCGTGACTACAAGCTTCACTCTCTTGAGTTCAATACAGCTTTCTTACAGGGTAGCCTGCACGAGGAGATCTGGCTGCGCTGCCCACCTGGCTTCACTGGGTCGTTTCCTGCAGGTACGCAGTGGAGCCTCTGGCGGCTAGTCTACAGTCCCCGCCATGCGCCTCGTGAGTGGCACGATGCACCGAGGACGACACTTGCGGCTCTTGGGTTTGCTCCTTCGAGTGCTGACCCGTCACTAATTCTGCGCACCGACACTTCGCTGCCGCCGTTCTACATCATCGTGCACGTCGACGACTTGGTATTTGCCACTGCTGATACTGAGGGAATGGCCCTTGTGAAGTCAGAGCTGCAGAAGAGACACACATGCACAGACCTGGGTGAGCTGCGCAGCTATCTTGGCTTGCAGATCACCCGGGACAGAGCATGCCGCACCATCATCTTGACTCACATGGTGCAGCAGGTCCTTCAGCGCTTCGGCTTCACCTTGGTCCTCGCCACAGTCCACTCCTCTAGCTACAGGTCACTCGCTCTCAGCTCCACCTTCGGACGAGTCTGTTGAGCCGAGTGGCCCATATCCAGAGCTAGTACTTTGGGTTGCTAGGTTGTGATCAATGTACTGCTTATTTATATATATATAACTCTGCATTTTAACTGGCCTTGTGGCCACTTGCTTGTGCTCAGAGTGTGTGGTGACTTCGTGATCCACCTTGAGCTTTCTTTGCTTTTCTTGACTGGTCTTGTGACCCCTTGTTCTCCCCCACTTTGCTTATAATGCAAACTATAATGGTGCTTATGTTGTGTAGGTTGTAGTAGGGTAGCATATATGGGGTACAACCCTTTTAGTTTCTAACAAAATTGTTTGTGGTTGTAAGTCAAGGGGGATACAAAAGTAACCTAGGATGGGTTGTACCCTCTAGGGGCAACTCACTGTAGCCCAGAAACCTAACAATGCATATGAACATTATCTCACACCCCCCCATAGGCTAAGTGAGGTGCATCCAAGAACTCGTAAGGGAAACAACGGTCACAAGACCAGTCAAGTGCAAGCAACAAAGCAAAGCTTAGGGTGGCACTGAGAGTCACCATTTACTCCGAGCACAAGCAAGTGGCCACAAGGCCAATTCAAGAGTTTACTAGGACATATATAGAAGCACAACAAGCAGAGCAAACAGCAAGTCTACAGCAATCGAGGGCCTACCTCAACAAGCCCCAGCTGGACACTGAACCTGTGGTGGTCACTAGGCGCCAAGGCCTTAGTGAAGACGTTGGCTGTGTTGGCCTCTGAGGCCACAAATTCCAAGCGTGCCTGGCCGCGTCGTTGCAACTCTCGCATGAGCAAGTACCTCGCGTTAATATGCTTCACTCTGCTCTCCAATTGAGGCTCTCGACACAGGAGGATCATAACCTTGTTTTAGTGTAGAAGGTCGGTGCGGTGCGAGACAGCTCACCAAGGTCGGTGAGCAAAAAGGCCAACTAACGAAGCTCCTGTGCCGCCATGGCACCGGCGTAGATCTCAGCCTCTGCACTGGACGAAGCTATCTCATCAAGCGGTGCCTTAGCCGTCGCCTCCGAACTAGAGAACGGGAATCGGGTGAACTTGGCTTGCATGCACGTCGGGCAGCCAAGTACCTCATTGGGCTCCCCCTTTACACGTATGCCAGCAACCATCTCATTCTTCACTAGCTGCTGCAAGATGGGCAGGGCCACATGCCCCATGCGCCGATGCAAGGTGAGCCAATCACACTCCCCCGTAGCCGAAGTTGGATTGGAGAATGCCGCGCTCGCAATAGCGCCCCACATACTCTCTCTGTAGTCCTCCTCCGCTGCTGCCTTAGGGTTCTCCTCAACCTTTTGCTGCTCCTTGGTTGCTGCACCACTCTCCTTAGGTTCACTGAACTTGCTGGTCCCTCCAGGTTTGCTCTTCTTGAGCTCATTCTCCTTAGCGCGACCGTTCGCGCCATCGTCGCTACCAACCGCTCCATCCTTGGTGCTGATGCTTGCTGCCACTTGCCTCTCCTTAGGCATAGGGACCACTAGGATCTGCCACATCTCGTTGTATACATTCCTGTCCTCATGAAGGTCCCAAAGAATTCGATCGCCAAGCCTTGCGGTGTAGATTTTGGCTCTCTTCGAGTTCGTGTCCATGCCGGCCTTTGCCAACCGCCGCACGGAAATCAGGTTTGCAGCAAGGCTGGGCACCCAAATCACGTTCTTGAGGCCCACCATCTTCCCATCAGCACCCTTGAACATGGCCTTCCCCATGCATTTCACCTCTGCTCGCTGCCCCAAAGCCGATGTGACATGCTTCACCGGTGACGGCTCGAGTTCAGTGAGCAAGTCCGGGCGAGGTGTCATGCTATAGGTAGCGCCACTATCAATCACCCAAAAGTCCAGGGGGTGTAGGGTCACCTTCCCCACAGCTGCTGGCTCCTCAAAGCCTTCATCCTTCTCTGGATCAGCCGGTACTTGCGTCAACACGAAGTAGAATAGACCCGGGTATCGATCGTCGCTCGGGTCCTTGTCGTTGTCTCCGCTCTTCATGTTTGCAGCTCCGCCACCGCGACCGCCACGACCTCCACGGCCTCTTCCTCTCCCTCCACCTGCTCCTCTACCCTCTTGGCCTTGAGCAGGGGTCCAACCATCGGGGAGTTTGTAGCAGTCGCGCCACATGTGTCCGCTCTTGTGGCAATACTAACACTCGCCGTCGAATCGGCCGCGACCGCGTCCGTAGCTCTTGTCATCGCTGCCGTAACCGCCACTCCCGCGGCCTCCGCCGAAGTTGCTGCCACCAAACCTTCCTCCCCCTTGTCCTCTACCTCTTCCTCGACCATATCCACGGCCGATGCTCGCTGTCCCAGCGCCATCCGCACTCGCCAACTCACGGCGGCGGAAATCCTCTTGAAGGATAGCTCGCTTCATGTCTTCAAGCGAGAGGCGGGGCAAGTCGCGATTAAGGTTGATGATGAGCGAGGACCATGACTCAGGGAGTAGGGCCAGCAACTTGGTCTTCTTTTGGAGCTCACTATAGTTCAAATCAGCTCCCTCAAGCCGCGTCAACAAGTCAAAGAATTTCTGCACCCCTTCTTCAACCGCTTCATCCTCTTCAATTCGTAGTGTCGCCATTTGCAGTTCCAACACCACAGCTACCGCGGCTGTTGCAGGAGCGTGCACACCCTTGAGAGCAGCCCATGCCTTTTGTCTCTTCTTTGGTTCACGCTGAAAGGCTTGATGTGACGGATTTGGCTGCTCCCCAACACTTGACCTAGTAGGAGGTAGCCTTGTGCACTCTTCCGCACCCACGGGCTCTTCTCTGGGTCGTTCTCGGGACGCTTCTCCGTTCCTTCCATCACCTCAAGCAGGTCATAGTGAACAAAAACGTTCTCAATTCTGAAGGACCACTCAGCAAAGTTGTCACTGTTGAACTTGTCAAGGCCAAACACTCTAGGCTCGTCCCTAGATGGGCCAACACCTGGTTGCACGGGCGCCATGGCTTAGTCACGAGGTTGGCCTTGAGCTTGGGCTTCTCCACTGCCACCAGCACCTCTGCCACCCCTTTCCTCAGGTCCAGCCATTGTCGAAACTGCTCCAAGGGGCTCTGATACCACTTGTTATAGTCACAGTAGGCTCCAATGTGCCTAAAACGAAAGATAGAGTGCATAGTCGGATTTCTGCACAGCGGCTTCAAACGTTCATAGCGATTTGCTCACAACTCCAAATGACTTCATTCAACTTGGATCTGGAGCACCTTAACGTTGCCTACAATAGGCAATTTGGATCGCACGCTTTCATTAAGAACTGACGACACAGCGTTGATTTGAACGAATGGCAATATGGCAGCAACATAGTCTTAGAACACAAGATAGGAAGAGTTAGGAAGAGTTACGAGTTGGGAATGACTCCCAGCTCTTACAAACCCCAAGAGCCGAGGTACAGTGATGTGGAACAGTGCCACACTGTCCCCAACCACGAAGGGTCTCGAAACTACCCTTCACTAGGGCCTACACCAAGTGAAATGTTACACTACACAAAGTAATGTAACTATCTTCAATATCTTGAGGTGCACCCTTTTGGCGAGCTTCGAAATCACTTGAGGCTTGACACCAAGGCTCGGGCTCTTCATCACAAACTCATCCTTGAGTTCTTGATGGGTCTTCTGCACACACCTGCGACACGCCGAACGTTCGACACAGGACAAAATAGAAACCGCGCACGACAAAATAGAAACCGCACGCGAGACACAAACGACCACGTAACGCGCGTCTAGCGATAACTCGCTATTGACTCGACACACACACTCGACATCATGACTCAACATTCACACACAATTGTAAACATGACATATATATTATCCCATGCCCTCATACCATTCCATACACACACACATGCACGCACACGGACAACAAACCGAGTGCAAACCATAGGGTTGCACCAACAGGTGGTGCACCTCTTTGTTTGCTATATGTACCCTAGGGCTATAGTGAACATTCATTCTCCTCTCATCTCTCAACTCTTCCTCCTTGGCACAAACTAGCTCGACCGCCTTTGGCCTAGGCTACTAAGCCTAGGCCCTCTTAAACCTAACTACCTACTCCTACTATTCTGATATGGTATTAGAGCCTGTTAAGTCCTGACCTGTGGGCCAGCCTCTCGCTTCCGCTGCTTTTTTTCCTGTCGCGCGCCTCAGGCGCGTGGCGATTTTCATTGTGTTCCACGCCCGGGTGGCGTGTGACGTTTTTTCTGCCCGTCGCAGACCCGCCCCTGGCGCTTGCGACGGTGTCCTGAGTCGCCGCGGACCCGCCCCTAGTGCCCGCGACGGTGCCCTGAGCCGCCGCGGACCCGCCCCTGGCGCCCACGATGGTGCCCTGAGCCGCCGCGGACTCGCCCCCGGCGCCCGCGACGGTGCCCTGAGCCGCGGCGGACCCGCCCCTGGCGCTCGCGACGGTGCCCTGAGCCACCACGGACCCGCCCCTGGCGCCCGCGACTGTGCCCTGAGCCGCCGCGGACCCGCCCCTGGCGCCCGCGACGGTGCCCTGAGCCACCGCAGACCCGCCCCTGGCGCTCGCGACGGTGCCCTGAGCCACCGCGGACCCGCCCCTGGCGCCCGTGACGGTGCCCTACGCCACCGCGGACCCGCCCCTGGCGCCTGCGACGGTGCCCTGAGCCGCTGCGGACCCGCCCCTGGCGCCCGCGACGGTGCCTCAACCTCACCCCGCGCCTGCACTCACTGCAGCCGCCCCTGCCCTACCCGCGCCAACCCTTTGTAGCCGCTCTGCGGCTTTATCCCCCACCCCACCCCCCACCCCCCTTGGTCTCCCTGCAGCATGGGGGGGAGCTCTGGGGGTGGCGGGTGTGGGGGTGATGGGTGGTGTGTTTAGTTTCCCCTCCTCCTCCTTTCGTTCCCACTGCTGCAGCTGCTGCTGGGGGGGAGGGTGTGAGGGTGTGGGGGAGCCAGGGGAGTGGCACTGGGGTGGCGGGTGTGAGACCAACCGGCCGCCGTCCCTCTGAGGTTGTGGGGGAGGGGGGGGGGGGGAGGAGAGTAAAGGGGTGGCAAGAGTGCCTGCCCCTTTGCTGTTGTACCTGCTCTGTTGCCTTGCCTACTGTTGCTATTTTCTCTGTCTGTGGTGTACCCCTGCATGTTGTGTTCTGCACTTAGCTATTCCTGCATGCAATTACAGGGGGATGTCAGAATCATATTCTTATACCAGCATGTAGTTCTAGCTGTAGTGTAGATATTGACTTTATAGGTGGTGTGCCTCTTTGTTTGCTATATGTACCCTAATGCTATAGTGAACATTCATTCTCCTCTCATCTCTCAACTCACCCTCCTTGGCACAAACTAGCTCGACCCCCTTTGGCCTAGGCTACTAAGCCTAGGCCCACTTAAACCTAACTACCTACTCCTACTATTCTAATACAGAAGACGAGCGGATAGACCCCCAAGAAACAGAGCCGCAGCCAAGGCTGAAAGTGTAACCCTGTGACAACCACTGCGTAGCCTGGTTATCAACCCAAGAAGCGTCTGAGTGTCCAGTAAGGACAACTTAGCTCCGCCCTCCAAGCACGAGCCCCATGCCCGATGTACTGCACAAATAGCGCAGTACCCTCTTCGCAGCATCCATGTGCACCTTTCGGTGCCTACCAGGAGCCACGTAGCTTGCCACAAGGCCAAGAGGGTAACTCCGTGCAGGTCATCAGATACATGAGGCAGCCCACTAGCTCTGGGTATGGGCCACTCGGCTCTACGGATTCGTCCGAAGGTGGAGCTGAAAGCGAGTGACCTGTAACCAAAGGAGAGGACTATGGCGAGGACCAAGTGAAGCCAAAGCGCTAAAGGACCTGTTGCACCATGTGTGATTGAGTCAGGGTTTAGGTGCGCCGTGCTCTATCCCGGGTGATCTGCAAGCCAAGGTAACTACGCAGCTCACCCTAGTCTGTGCACATGTGTCTCTTTTGCAGCTCCGACTTCACAAGGGTGAGAGCCTCAGTCTCAGCAGTGGCAAAGACCAAGTCGTCGGCGTACACGAGGATATAGAACGGCGGGAGTGAAGTGTCGGTGCGTAGAAACAGCGACGGGTCAGTACTGGAAGGGGCAAACCCAAGAGCCGCAAGTGTCATCCTCAGTGTGTCGAGCCACTCACGAGGCGCCTTGACGAAGACTGAAGACTAGTCGACGGAGGCTCCACTGGGTACCAGGAGGGAACGACCCAGCGAAGCCAGGCGGGTGGCGCAGCCAGATCTCCTCGTGCAGACTGCCCTGTAAGAACGCTGTGCTGAAGTCCAGATGGTGAAGCTCGTAGTCACGCTGAGCGGCAACGTGCAACAGCACCCAAAGAGTGGTCATCTTTGGGATTGGGGAGAAGGTCGGGGGAGTGGTCAACTCCCTGTCGCTGACTGAAGCCTCGTGCAACGTAACGAGCCTTGAAGACATGCGGAGAACCCGGCGGGCTCTTCACCCAAAAAATCCACATGCCATCGACGATGTTCGCCCCAAGAGGGGGAACTGTTGATTGCACAGGTGGTTGTGGTATTTTGCTCTAGCTGGTTGTGGGCTAAGGGTTTGGGCAAAATGTGGTGGTTAGACTTGTTGCGGGCTGGAATTGATCTCGCACGCAACAAGCACCAACAAAGCTTTGCTATTCACTACAACAACTTTGGTGTTGCTAGTTTAGCACTTTGGCTTCTTGGGGATTGTTCTAGGTCGACGGTTGGGTTGGTAGGGTTTGAACAACTTGTCACTTTTCAGATCTGAACTCTTGCTAAAGCTACTTTCTTGATCTAATCCATGCCTGCCAAGTAATTTCGCCAGGATACCGCGTCGCACTTAGATCGCGATAGCGATCGGCCTAGGTCTGGTTGAAGGCGTGCGTTATCATTCTGGAAAGTAGAAATGAAGCCCTTTCCAACTCGTACCTGCTCATAGTTTAAGGTTACGTGAGCTGCACGCAATGTTCCGTCGAAGTCGGCGGACTTGATCTCTTGTACTCTCTCCAAATTCGCTCGCTTTTCATCAGTGGCATCAGAGCTGGTTAGGCCTGCGACATTCCCTCCTATTATCACATTATGAATTGGCTTAAGAATCTCCAGATCTAGGGCTGGTTATGGCCCAGAAATTAGATCGCCCTCCTAGGTTCACCGGCTCGGATTTTTTGCTATGGCGGTTCCAGTTTACGCTCTAGCTAGGTATTAAAGACGTAGAGGGTGTTTTGGAGGGATCGGAGCGGAGACCTGAAGCTGATGAAGGAAAGGCATCTACTGGAGTCTCTAGTCAAGTGAGAGAAGGGGCTGGGGGAGCCTCTAGCTCATCCATAACTGAGGGAAGTGGAGGTGGATCAGCAGCACCGCGAACCGGAAGGCAACGGCCTAGTGCGGAGGTGCTTATCAAGGCACAGGAAGCATGGGACCGCAAGGACAAGCAAGCGTTCCAGTACCTGTGTTGGGCCTTGGAAGGCCAACTAGAGCTCTTAAAGATGCTGATTGACCTGAAGGGGAAGCAAGGAGCAGCTGCCCAATCATGGAAGAAAGTTCAAGATCGCCATCTGCAAAAGGGACTGCTAAGCATACTTACATGGAGGAAGCGGTTTTACACCATGGAACACAACTATGGTGATGGGGAGATCATGGTGCAGTATCTCCAGAGGGTGGATGAGCATGTGAGAGCCCTAGAGGATTTGAACTACACTGTGGATGAGAAGGAGATCATCTACACCGCACTCCAGGGGCTGGGCCAAGAGGCGAACGAGGCCCTACTGCAATACCTTCACCTTGAGCAAAGAAATGGACCAAGGCCTGGATATGGGAGGTGTTGGTCTCTGATGAGGCTCGCAAAAGGGATGCTGGTAGAGGAGTTGAAGGGGGAATGGGGGCAGGGGATAGGGCTGCCTCCAAGAAATACCAGCAGCAGCAAGGAGGTGGGGGGAAGAAGAAGGATCTCGACAAGTGCCTCGTCCCTGGATGCAACCGAAAGCACTCTTGGAAGGAGTGTTGGAGCCGACCAGATGGGTGGAAGCCTCAAGGGTACCCAGGAGAGGCTTCACCTGTCACTAGGCCTGAGTGGGTGCAGAGGAGGATGAAGAATGGAGCATGGAACAAGAAAGGCAGCAAAGAGAAAGCGGCAGCAATGGTGGCAAATGAGGATAAGAAGGGAAAGGAGGACTTATC